GTTGTTGATGAATTAAATATTTTAGCAGTAGTATTAAATACTTGTATTTTTAAGCATATATAAAATCGCTGTCACCCGCAAACTTATTTTTTTCCACATATGGACAACAGAGAGTAGCAATAATAAAAAAGCAGGAAAATGCAAGAAAAATAAAGGTAAGAAAATAACATGAATCCCCATAGTTAAAGTACAAAGTAAAGTGGGTAAAACTAATCCGACATATGTACTTAACACTGTAATGGTAAAAAACTCAATATATATATAATATGAAATTAAAGATAAGTAAAAAAATGTGTCAGAGGCACTTAGCAGGGAAAACAAGGCAAAAAAAAGAAAGTGACACTCACCACTACAACCAAACAACCACGCAGTAGCCTCTCCAAATAAATTGGCCATGTAGGATTAACATGGACAACAAAATACAGACACACAATACAAGATAGTTAAGAATATATTAGTCACCCATGCCATTGACATGAACTTCTAGATTCTACTCTTTTGGTTTGAAGGGTACAAGCACTTAATTATGTGTAAGCCCCTCACCGAGTGCAAGCACACAACAATGCCACAATCGTCTAGTTACTGTCAATTTTCTTATCGTCATCATTTGAAACATAAATATCAACTAGCAGCGCAGTTAGGATGGTCACTAATTGTAGCGAGCGTTGGACCTTTTGAGTGCATTGATGTATGTATCCATACTATCATAGGTGCTGCTCCACATAGCGTTGTGTCTGGATGTTAAATTTGTGCATCTCCAGAGACATGTCCTTCAAGCGCCTCATTACCTCAACACTTAAAGGGTGTTAATGTGAAGGCTCAGAATGCCATGAAGAATTCTCTCCACTCTCTCAGAGTGAACCCCGCACTGAGTCAGCAGAAGCAAATGTGGTCATGGTGATCAGTTTCTACAATGCTAGCATTTCATCTCCACTCCCTCTACCTACGCCTTCTCTATGACACAGTGCATAAATAATATAAGGGTGCCCTAAACCTACAGTGGTCTAACCTCTAGAAATGTGCACAATGGACTAGTAGATGATGACATCTATCTTTATGGATAACTCATCTGAATACAAAAATTTAGGATTGTTCGATCCCTAGTAACATCAGTAAGACTAGTGGTTGGGAGAAGGTGAGCAACAATGAAATAGTGCTAGAAGTGAGAGATGGGGTGTAGGTAGGTCAATAAATTCACAAGTATATCCCCCTCTTCTCCTAATCAAACCTTCCACCGACTTATGCTATCAGTGAGGAAGCTATGATATCCTAATAATCAAGAGATAAGAACTGCACAAAATCATAGCTAAGAATGCCGACAAAAAGATTGTTTATGGTGGTGGGATCAATAGGAATAAATTTTCTACATACGAAGGCTTGCTCACCCATAACTTCTTTTGCATTTGCGTAGAATTCAAAAATAAATGGGATAACGGTGGGGCCAACTTCATAACAAAAACTATTCAACCTCTATCTGTTGATTTCTATGAAAATCCTATCATCTAGAAATTGAAATACTAGCTCTAGAATGAGCTTCTTCAAAATCAAAAAGTTTTCTTACCGCTGTGCACTAGCATTACTCACAAATTGAGTTTGAATGTAGCTCGAGGTTCCCTTTCCCTTGGTTTTAGAGGCCATGAAAACAAATTTGGACTGGAGGAATCAGTTTAAGAAAATGCAAGATATTTCTGAAAGAATCATAAATTGTGAGTAAAAAAGTGGATAACCGAGAAAAATAAGTTTTGACAATATTTTAAGAGATTTTTGAGTGTGATATAGGAAAAATGGTGGAGAAAATAGAAAAAAATGGTGAAAGTGCATGATATTTAGCACACACTATAGCTTCTACCATGTTCTACTATATGACAACTGGATCTAGCAAAATGAGCTTGCTTATAATGGATTTCAAAGCTTAGGGAGGAGAAGGGGTAGTGCACATGTGAAATAAGTGAAGAAAATGCTAAAAGATGATAGATTCTAGCCTTCAATGCCTCACAACGTGGTCACGCCACCCTAGCCCGTGACTTACCCTAATAATCATAGGTATGGCTTGGTCACACCCTCTTTTGGCATGCTCACACTACTGATTGGCGTGGTTACCCTTGGTGTGACATGAAAATTTTTTTGTGCTACCTCACTTCAGAAGGCAAACTACTCTATAGAGGGATCAACACTCAACTCAATAATCAATCACAGTCACAAACTCTTGAAAACAACAAAAATATGAAATGACAAAATTGTGCAATAAATAAAGTAGAAATAAATAAGATAATTCTTGGCTTTCCTCTCAAGATAAGGCTTGGTTTTATGTACTCAACCAGAAAAAATCTCAGGTATCATTCTATGATGGTTCTCCATGATCAAAGTGCCACATCAACAGTCCCTGATCTTTATTCTTGAGGTCAAATCATCTTGAGTTTTACAGTAAGGTCATGTTCTCGATTTCTTCCCAAAAGTTTTGATTTTATTCTAGCCACCTATTGAGGTTATTTAGTAACCTTTCGCTTTCAACCAGATTATCAACAGTGATTTTAATAGGTACAGTAAGTTGGTCCCCTAACAGATCTGGACTTAGTGTTGTGTTTCTCCTACCGAAGAGTACCATTTTCATCAGTCAAATTCTTGAGAAATTCATCAATTATTTTTTGCTCTTCCATGTGAACATCCTCAAATTTAGTAGATTAGATTTTTATCACCCAAGCCATAGTTTTAGTTCTTTGAATTTGATCATTCTTATAAGCTTGGTGAAGGTCTGATTGTTGTAATGACATTCAATTAAATTACTCGATCATGTACTCACAAAATTACCTTCCCCTCCTGAACATTAATAATAGCTCTTTTAGTGGCTAAAAATGGTCTCCTAAAAATCACATGCATTCTCTCACCAGCTTTTAAGTCTAAAATTATGAAATCAGCCAAAAAAGTGAATCTATCTATTGTGACAGGTTGGCTTTCAACTATATATAGTGGATGTATATCTGCTAATTGAAGTGCGAAATTTGCAAGCTTAGTATCCCCTGTTCCCAGTTGTTTGAAAATTTTCAAAGGAATGAGATTGAAATTGACTCCTTGGTCACAAAGTGCTAGTCCTTGAAATTTAGTTCCGAATACATAGGGAATGGTGAAATTTCTAGGGTCCTTGCTAGGATTTTGCAGCACTTGAAGAAAATGAGTGATGTCACCTGAAAATGGGGGGCAAATGATACATCTCCAATAAATCTCCATCAACCGACATAAACTCGAGGCATAACATAGATCTAGATGTGAGTTTTTGAGCAAGAAATATTCAAACCTCGATAAAAGCTCATCTAGAACTTGGATTTCAGCAAACATACAGTCAAACTAATCGGGTCTACAAGAAGAACCTAATGTTACCAAAATTAGTCCACTTCAAGTCAAATCAAGCTCAGATCAAGTTATTAAACCAAAATTGAATGTTTTTTGAACATATTTAAAAGGTTGAACAAATGTTAAATCTAATAAACCTATAATTGAAACGAGCGTCTCAACAAACAGATCCAACGAGCACAAGATTTCTCATTTCTTACATCGCTTAGACACTGAAATGTCTATCAAATGTCATCTAATCGAAGGAAGCATTACAGACCGTCTAACCAAAGCGGTCAAAATTCATGTATTCCTTGCACCCAGAACACTATAAGCTTAAAGCCTGAGAAGAGCTTCAAGTTTTGACGAGAGCTTGAGGCTTGAAAGAGAACTTAAAGCCTTGACAAGGAATTGGCCCCCTTGTCACAGTTGATCGCCACCGGACGTCGTCGACCACCGTCGACCTCCATAGACACCCACCTACAGTTGTCAATCACTGTAATCGTCGTTCATTGCCAATCCTTGTCGATCACCGTCGACTACTGTCAACCGCCATCGAAAAATACCGACCTCCATTGAGCACTAATGTCGTATTTAATCACTACCTACCCTCGTCAACCCCTGACCACCATTGATCACCACCAATCAGAGTCGACCACCACAGACTGGAAGCCGTCAATCGGCGTTATAATATGGAAGAACTAGTAATATTTCTCATATATGGGATAATGGGTCTCTGTAATCATCAACATATAGTGAATTTTTACATCTAGGTTAGACCCCTATGGTTTTTTCGCTTTACAGGTTCTTCACATAAAAAACTTCTTGTGTCATTACTAGTTGTTTTTTTTTTACTGAGTGTGTGTTGAATTCTCGTGCAACGCTAAGACAATAATCATTTACTCTACCGCCGCGAATTTTCAAGCACGCATCAAATATATATCTAGTTACGGTCCGAAATTTTTTGTTAAAAAAAAATTTATAATAACTAAATAATAAAACTTTAGGGTGCTATATATTTGAACTCTCCTTCTTTTAACTTATAATCATTATAATATATTTTTTTAGGGATAATTAGATACATAGCACCGAGGCATTGATATTTAGAAATTAAGCACACAGGATTTTTTTGAACCATTGAATCAATACATTTATAAATGCCACAATCAAATCACTGAGAAATTGATTATAATGAATTTTGATATTTGAGTGAGAATTTAAAAATTGGATGAACGAGCGTGCTTGATTTAAAAATAGCAATGTTTTAGTTGCTCCCTTATTCTCTAAATATTTAGGCATTGTAATTATATCATGATAGTTGTTTTTTTTTTATGTTTCATATTAGAGCTGCAGTAATTATATCTTAAAATTTTCTCTTGTCTGATGCTCTTTTTCCTAGATGAAAATAATGCTCTCATACTGGATGTCTAAATTAGCATCATTTACACATCCATACTTTTGCGTTCACTAGGCCTAATATGTTGTGGGATTCTAAAATGATGGTAGGTTGGCATGATTTGCTTCTTGGGTCCATCGGCCCGAAACCAAACAGTTCGCACCAGCACATTAATTGGGCTTTGTCTAGCCCGCCAAAACATTGCCCACGGTTCCCCTAATGATCGATTCCTTCCTGCTTGCCCTAGACGCGGCTTCGGCAGACTATATATACCTAACATCGTCTCATTCTCCTTCGCTTCGCCGCTGCGGCTCCAATAATTCGTCCAAATTTGATCGGAGAGGCTCTTCCTTCATCACTTCGATATGGGGTAAGGATTGTATGTTCTCCTTTACGCCATATAATCTCTTGCGCATTAGCCTAATGTAGTTTACGCTGTTCACTCAAATAAGATATCGGCCGTCGTATTCAGTATCTGATTTGATCACAGAGAAAAAGAAGATTTGTTTTCTTCTTATGAAATGTTTAGATTTGAATCCGACTCTCTGCATGCCTTTTGACTGATTCGGTAGCCAATATATTGTTTTAGAGAAATATTTATACCCCTCTGCATAGTTAAGTTACGTATTCTTTGTTTTAAGGGTTCGTATTACATGTATTCGAGGATAAAAGATTTCTTCCTTCGGAATGTACTTTCTTGCTTGTAGAAGTTTTTTTTTTCCTGCACGTCCTTTCAGCAGGTGCTGCATCAATTCCTCTGCAAAGAGCTTAGTTGTTTTTTTTTATTTACTTGAGATGTGTAGCAAAATTTCTAAAGCGAATATTAGGTCCGAGCGGATTGGTTGTATTTTTGGTGATATTGCATAACAATATCACCATAATACCATCAAAATACCACCAATTCCACACTATTTTATCAGCACCTATTATTTTTTATTTCCAATTTATTATTATTACCACCTGCAGGATATGATTTAATAAAAAATTATTGAAATCATCAGCTATACGTAATATTGGCAGTACCAGCATTGCATATTTAGATGGTAGCATATGACGTGATAAGCTCATTTTAATGTCATAAGAGATAATGTGTTGTGCTGTTAATTTGTGATACTATTTTCTTATAATGAGTTCATTTCCTAAACAATAAAGGGACCAAACACCCAAAAAAGAGTTACCCCAAGTCAGACTGAGGAGAGCCCTAGCTTCAACATAATGAGCTACAGCACAACAACAACAACAAAACCTTTATCCCACTAAGTGGGGTTGGCTACATGAATCCTTTTTCTCCATTGTGTCCAATTTAGTGTCATTTTTTCATTTAATTCTAATAAATTAATATAATTTTTTATACAATATGCCCAAGTTTTTTTAGGTATACCGCTTCCTCATGTTTACCTTTGCCTTTCTTAACATAGGTCGAACCTAAAACATCTACTCTTCCAATCGGGTCATCGGATGGTCGGTGTTTAATGTGAACAAACCATCTAAGACAACTCTCTAATTTTGTCTATCACTGAAGCTGCACCAACCCTATCACGGATATATTTATTTTGCATTTTGTCTCGAAGTGTAAAGTCACTCATCAACCTAGTCATTCTCATCTCGACAACACTTAACTTAGTTTTATGACTCTCTTTTAAAGACCAACATTCAACGCAATAGAACATTGTAGGTCTCACCGCTATCTTATAAAATTTTCCTTTCAATCTAAGCGTTACTTTCTATCACTCAATAGACCCGAAGCATTCCTCCACTTCAACCAACCAACTTGAATTCTATTAATAACATCCCCATCAATATCACTATCAGTTTGAACAATAGACCTGAGCTATCTAAAGCGTCACAACTTTTAATAATTTGATCACTCATAGTTACATTTCTGTCACTAGAGATCAATTTTAGTTCTACTCAAATGAAGGCCTGTAGACTCCAAGGTAAACCTCCATAATTCAAGTTTTTTTTCTGAGCTTTTTCTCTCGTCTTATCCACAAGAAGGATATCATCAGCAAAAAACATACACCAAGGTACATCCTCTTGTAAGTGTTCAGTAAGACCATTTTATAACTAAAGCAAAAAGATATGGGCTTAAAGCCAATTTCTGATGTAAACCAACAGAAATAGGAAAATAATTGTTCAGTCCTCCTTTGGTTTGAACACAAGTAACAGTTCTTGTATATATATCTTTAATGACTTGAATATAAATCATATCAATACCTTTCTTCTCAAGAACTCTCCAAAGTATGTCTCTTGGAACCTTATTGTAAGCTTTTTCTAAATCAATAAAAATCATATGTAGATCCTCCTCCTTATTATCTCTGAAAAATCTCCATCAAATCTCTCAATAAATTTATAACTTAGAATTTATGAGCTAGATCAATTAAAAAATAATTCCTCACATTTCATAATAAACTTGTGCTGAACTAAAAATAAATCTCATCCAACATTTATTAAATGGCACAGGCAGTCGGTCGCGTCCTATAAATCCCAAAGGCCCTAATCTTAACTTGGAACTCACACACTGTTTCTCTCCTCCGCCTCTACTTCTAAATCTCGGGGAGACTTTGTCGCAGCTATGGCGTAAACTCCTATCTTCATCTCTTCATTTTTTTCTTCCCTAACTTAGAACTTCTTTGATTCCTGATATTATTTGCTTTTTTTTTTGGTAAAGCTTTGTTTTTGAATTGTGTTGTCTTTGATTCCCAAGCAAAATAATTGAGATCTTAGTTTCAATGGAACAAATTTAAGTATCATATTAAATGCAAGGAGTTTGAATCCTTGAGTATTAAAGATAAAATTAGGTTTTAGGGGGATTTGCATATTAAAAATAGATTATGATGCGAGTCTTAGCTCTCAAATAAATAAGCTTTGAGCATATTGGGTTATAATATGCTAGGTTGGTAAATGTAGGCGTTTCAGATTTGATTGCTAAATTTTTTCGAAACTAGATGACAAACTATCTATCAAACAACTTGTATTTATTGTGCTGATATTACTTCCAATGATCATGAAATTGTTGTTTTATTTTTGCGAGATTCTTACGAAAGTATAAACTGATGTTATGGATTGAGCTTTCTCTTCTTTGGTAATGCTTTTCAGTTGCTTTGCCTTTCAAAAACCCGAAATAAAAAATTTGATCTGTTACGAATCACTTTTTGTTGGTGATTTATTATTGGGCCAATTACATGCAAGACCACCCAAAACTTGCCATTTACAAAACAACCACCCTCGTTCATCTATTTTTCAAATTCTCTCTCAAATATCAAAATTAATGGTAAAACCACAACCATATGTTTCATTTTTATCAAATTCTCAATAGTTTGATCGTGACACTCGTAAATACATTGGTTAGGTAGTTCAAAACATCACCTAGGTGCATAATTTGTAAATATCAATGTTTTGGGAGGTCTGTTTATAATTATCCCTTTATTTTTTTTTTTCGCACCAATACAACATAGCAACATATCAATGAAGTCATAGTAGACATTTACATTAGGAAGATATCTCAAATGGTTTCCCATCCGATGATGTTGAGATATTCTCTAACTAATACATATGGAATAAAAAATTGAAATATTCTAAAGCTTCCTTTGGTAATGAAATGTTTTGTTGTACTGTTTGATCCAAAATAAATTACTAATCTAAAATACCGATTTGTCCTTGATTTCTATTAGAGTTTAATCTAGTCAGAGGCAATTCGAAATTACCTAATAATGCATAAGTTGAGATATGTTATCTTTGAGATACTGGTATGAACTGATATCATCTAAGCATTAATTATTTTTCTTTCCATGAAGTGTGATGTTACAATGTTTACTAGTACTATTTCAATCTTATTTTTGGTTGTTACCTTTATTGCATTCATTATTTTTGTTAATATTATAATTTCGGGCATTTGCATACATTCCACATAATTCCTATGTATTCACAAACACCTTAAATTTTATTTTTTTTAATTAATTTATACCACCTAAATACTTTATATCACATAAAAAATACCACTATTTTAACTTATAAAAAGTGACACACCTTGCATAGGTAAGGTGCATATTTGTAAAAATTGAAATTTAGGTGTTACACAGTTTATTCATGCTAATAAACAATAAAGAAAATTTAATATTATACAGCTGATCATAAATTATATTGCAATCTATTTATAGAATTAATGGATGTTCATATTTATAAATTTAATAGTTTGATTCATTATTTAGTAATTATATTTATAAAATTTAATTGATTGGACAAAATTAAATGAGCTAGATCAATTCAAAAATAATTTAAAAAAAAAAAATTCCTCACATTTCTAAGCTAAATAAATCTCATTCAACAGTTATAAACAGCTCAGGCAGCCAATCGCGTCCTTTAAATCCCAAATGCCCTAATCTTATCTTAGAATTCGTGCACTGTTTCTCTCCTCCGCCTCTGCTTCTAAATCTTGGGGAAACAAAGTCACAGCAATAGCGTAAGCTCCTATCTTCATCTCTTCACTTTTTTCTTTCCCGACCCATCCGTACTTTCTCTCATAAATGTATTGGAAATTCTGGCTTTATTTTACTGAATTTGAGAAGTGAAATTCCGTTGATAACTTCTTTGATTCCCGATATTATTCACTTTTTATTGGTAAAGCTTTGTTTTCGAATTGTGTTGTCTTTAATTCCTAAACAAAATGATTGAGATTTTAAGTTTCGATGGAACAAATTTAGCTATCAGATTATATGAAAAGAGTTGAATCCTTGAGGAGTAAAGATAAAATTAGGTTTTAGGAGACTTTGCATATCAAAGATAGATTATGGTGTGATTCTTTACTCTCAAATAAACAAGCGATGAGCTTATTGGGTTATAATATGCTAGGTTAGTATATGTATGCTTTTTAGATTTGATTGCTAAATTTTTATGAAACTAGATGACAAACTACCCAAGCAACTTGCATTTTGTTGTGCTGGTATTACTTTCAATGATTATGAAATTGTTGTTTTATTTTAGTGAGATGCTTGCAAAAGGATAACTGACTTTATGGATTGAGCTTCGTTTTTTTTGGTAATGCTTTTTAGTTGCTTTGCCTTTCAAAAATCTGACATAAAAATTTTGATTTATCATGTATCACTTTTTGGCTGTGATTTATTTTTTGGCAAGACCACCCGAAACTTGCCATTTACAAATCAACATGCCCTCTTTCATCCCTTTTTCAATTTCTCTCAAATATCGAAATTCATGGTAAAACCTGTATTTTTAATATTTATCAAATTCTCAATAGTTTGATCATGGACTCGTAAATACATTGGTTCGGTAGTTCAAAACATCACCTAGGTGCTTAATTTGTTAATATCAATCTTTCAGGTGGTCTCTGTATAATTATCCCTTTATTTTTTTATGCAGCAATACAATATAGCAACATATCAATGAAGTCATTAATGTAGACATTAAAATTATGAAGATAACTCAAATGGCTTCTCATCCAATGATGTTGAGAGATTCTCTAACTAACACATATGGAATAAAAAATTGAAATATTCTAAAGCTTCCTTTGGTAATGAAATGTTTTGTTGTACTGTTTGATCCAAAATAAATCACTAATCTAAAATACCGATTTGTCCTTGATTTCTATTAGAGTTTAATCTAGTCAGAGGCGTTTCGAAATTACCTAATAATGCATAAGTTGCGATATATTATATTTGAAACTGGTATGAACTGATATCATCTGAAGCATTAATTATTTTTCTTTCCATGAATTGTGATGTTACAATTTTAACTATTTCAATTTTCTTTTTGGTTTTTATCTTAATTACATTGAAGGTTGGTATATTATTTTGGTTAATAATATAAATTTGGGGCATTTACATACATACCACTTAATTCCTATGTATTTGCATTTCTAACATCTAAACTTTTTTTTTTTACATTTATAACACCCAAATCTTTTATATCAAGGTGTATTTCATTTTTTAAAAAGAAAAATAGAAGTGTTTTCACTCATAAAAAGTGAAATACTACTTTTGGCTTTTCATGCACAGGTAAGGTGACGTGTGTAAAAATTGAAGTTTAGGTCTTAGATATGTAAATACATAAGAATTGAGTTGGTATCTATCTAAATCTTTGTATACATTTGTATATGAATTAGTTGTTAGTAAAAGAGTTCCCTTCATTACAGTCGGCTTTATTTGTTAGATCAAATCTTTACCAGAGTTTATTTGATGGCAGGGACGATGGAATTCCCACTGAAACACCTGCTTCAGTGCTTGGAGAACCAATGGACCTCATGACAGCACTCCAGCTTGTTTTGAGGAAAAGTTTGGCGCATGATGGGCTTATTCGTGGACTCCATGAAGTAGCGAAGGCTATTGAAAAGCATGCTGCACAACTTTGCGTGCTTGCAGAGGATTGTGACCAACCTGACTATGTTAAGCTAGTCAAGGCTCTTTGTGCAGATCACAATGTCCACTTGGTGACCATTCCACATGCCAAATCCCTTGGAGAGTGGGCTGGGGTTAGTGAATTGCCGGAGTTAATTTTGAATAATTTTTGAACTAATCATTTATTAATGACTTGGCTAACCTTTTAGTTTGCATTTTGTCATCTGTTGAAGGCTTTTGTTAAGAAGCTGGAGTTTTACATTCTTTGGCATCATCAAGCTCTTCTATTTTTATTATTGCTGCTTCTTTAATTCTGCATTTTGCAATGACTGCATTTATGTTTAGAGGTTTATATTTGTGTCACGAAAGGCTTTCCTATTTATAAAATTAGCTATTTATTGCATGAGAAACAGCAATTTTATTAAGAATATAACAAATTCTTGGTAATGAGTTTTTATAGTTATGGTTGTGCTCTCCAAGATCTAAGTGGTTTTAAGCACTTGTTGGTTAATTTATCATTTTTGTTTATTACAGCTCTGTAAGATTGACTCAGAGGGAAAGGCCAGAAAAGTTATAGGGTGCTCCTGTGTTGTTGTTAAGGTAAATGAACTCTAATCTTCTTTATTGGCTTTAGAAGTTAGCTCTCGAAGTGTTGATGCTTGATTTCTGTCTGAGCATTTAATCCTTGCCTGGATTTGCAGGATTATGGAGAGGAATCAGAGGGACTTCATATAGTTCAGGAGTATGTGAAATCTCACTGATTATTTTGAGCTATCAGTCGGCATAAATGATTTAAAATTTTGCATTTAGACTTGTGAACATTTAGTTGATTTTTTGCAGCATTTGTTTCTGGTTTGAAGGTTGTTTATCTTGGTTTTTGTCCTAATTTATGAATGTTGTAGCGAGAATGTACCGGAAAACCTGTAAGCTTTATATATTCCAGTTGTGTTCATTTGTAGTCTGATTAACTTAAAAGTTTATTTTGTAATTTGATTACATGAATGGTTGGGTTGTTTTCAACACCCGACATTTTTTCTTCTAATTATTTTAAACAAGCAAATTTATATTTGAACATGAATAGTTGTGTGTTTGATTTTAAACATGAACTAAACATGAATGAAAGTATAGTCTTTCATTCATTCGCTAAGTAAATGAACTAAACATGAATAATTTTTTTGCACTTGATATATAAATAAGCCAACCAAAGGCAAAAAATTGTTGTGTTTGTGTGTGTTACAAGCCTTGCCCTGTTGGTGGTAATTCCCCTCAGGTCAAGGATTCAATTCCACCGTGACTTGAGGGCTCTGAAATTTCAGGCACATGGCGCGGGCTCTCATTATGGAGCCAAAAAATGCATGGGAAATTGATATTTGAGCATTTGCCGAATATCAATTTTTTTAGAAATATATATTGAAAAGAAGTGGTCAAAGGCTATTATATGAGCCCCCACCATCCCTCATGCGTCTAAAAATTTGAGTACCACACTACAGTCGAGTGGAATCGAATCTCAGACCAGAAGGGACTTACAACTAGCAAGCAGATGTCTGACCAACTGATTTAAATACGCGGCACATATTTATAATCATGTAAATATTGTTGATAAGTATTATTTTTAAGTATGTAATTGACAACAAGGCTGCAAAAATTTATAATCAATTAAGATTATTAATTAAAAAAATAAAATAAAAATATATTAAATTCTATTTAAATGAATTTTTTTATAAATAATAATATTTAAATCACACACATATCCTTAACATTCTATTGATGCCTAACTAAAGATATCAAAATAGCTCATTGTTCACAAACAACTTGTGCTCGACTCGTTAAGCAAACGAGTCGAACACAAACAAATTTGTTGTGCTCGATATATTAACGAGTCAAACACGAACAATGAATTTATTAATAATTCGAACACGAGGCGAGTCTAGGCTCGCTCAAGCTTAGCACGTTACACCCCTTGCAGTTGAACAACTATGCTGCAGCTATCTGCGATAAAAAAAAAAATTTCACCCCATGCATTGCTATGTAGTTTATAACATAACCGATCATAGTTGCACATTTTATACATGGAAATAGAAATCTAGTTTGAATATTACATACTAAAAACTGACATCACTAATCAGTGAGCAGCACAACAGATAAAATTAAAAATAAAAGTATTAAAACGACAATTAACATTATCATGATATTGAATTTGAAGTACAAATGATCAAACTTCATGAGCTAATTTCTTCTACAGTGAAACTCTCCACCACTGATCATTATCTGAGATAGAATAATCAAACGAATCTGACCACCTAAAGAATTTATGGTCCATTGATCTATTCCATGGACACTTGTAAAATTTCTCACAAAACTATGCTCCTATCGTGAAGTAAACAAAGAATATTGCAGTTCACCGTAGCAGTATAAGACTCTAAAAGCACCAGAAGGCCTCAAACTTTTTTTTGAAAGTTTAAAACACAAACATGTAGATATAACATTAGTTAAAAAGAATAACCGAAATACACAATCAAAATTTCATAAAGTTGTGAGGTCTTGAAGCATAAAGTATGAACCGACGAATAATCTATCACTATTAGAAGACGACAGACCTTTTAAAGAATTTTTGCCTTTAAATCATGCAATATAGAGCTTGTATGTGTTACAGAAGCATATCACCATAAAGGTCATCCAGAAAAACCCCAACAGTCATATGAGTAAAAAGAATATGATTTTGGTTCCGTTTGAACCTTGTAAAACTGAGCTCTTAAGTGTTAGAGAATCATATCACTACAAATGTCATCTCGAAGAACCTCAACAATCATACGTCTGAAAAAGAAACGGATTTTGATTGTCTTGAACCATGTAATACTCGTATCACCATAAAGACCACCCAAAAGAATCCTAAGGTGATTTATTTCACCATAGGCCTTATAACAAAAAAAAAAAAAGCATGCAAGAAAAAAATTTATATTAAAACTTACGGCTTCCTAGAGAACATCAATATGGGAAGAAATATATGCAGAAAGAATAAAAAATTAATTGGCATTGAATTAAAATTTCACATGAACATTATTGCATATAGTGTCAATATAACAAGTAATAATTATTTTTACAAAACACTTCACATAGATAATGAAAATGCAACGTACAAAATCTATACACCCATTAATTATTACATTGTAATTTGTTCTCTCAATCCCACCATCTCCCCAGCGCCTTCCCCATCATGTTTGCAAGAGTTATGTAAATTAGATTTAACTTTTGATATTGATTGGCCTAAGCGATATTCATATGCTTCGGTGGGGACAATTGATTGATGATCATCTACACTATTGAAATCAATATCACAACGTGAAGGATGCTAATGAATATAATTGTGTGGAGTCATTTTAGCGACCACAATCTTCATTTGTTTGTTGAAAGATTGTTTGGTCGTATCTCACAAAATAAACTATTTTTTCTGAAACCCAAATGTAATTTCAATAACACCACGTAAAGATGAATGTCTCTTGTTAAACATCTTCTTTCTGTCCCGAGCTGCGTTGTTCTTTCAAAATCAAGATTATTATATTATGTATCAGAGAAGAGTTTGAGATGCTCTTTGTAATGGACATCCAATATCAACCAAATACTATTTTCTTTTTATAAGTCTATTTATGAGTATTGTAATGAAATAAATATTTTATTTATTCATATTCAAGCAAATATGCAACTTTGAAAAATTGTTTTTAAAACTGTGTGACAAGTTTGACTATACGCCTTTCGTGTGATCAACTTTCCAATACGATCATCACAAATGTGAAACACGTTAAAATCACACACAACCATGATATTTTTTGTTGATAATCTACAATATCCAATATATACAATCTTTTCACTGTTGGACACGTGTGCATCCACATGTATTCCATCAATTATTTCATTATAGTTCTAGGTCATTTATATAAAATATTAGGATTCAAATGCTTAAGTAAATTTTGGAATAGATGAACACATAAATTTATCTCGAAATATGGCATATCACGTTGATCATCTGAAATATGGGTGCTTTGGAATATAGTGTCTTCAAATCTGATAAATTTTTAGAGTAAGATGGTTAGAGCATCAAAACTAACTAAAAATGTTTGTTAATTGCTTTTGATGAGTGTTGAAATCGCTTTATGGCTCCCCTCATTGACTTATTTTATGATAATTATAAAGAGTTATAGCTAACGCCTCTCTTGAAGTCATCTAAGACAAGTCATGGAGTTTATAATTTATGTGAAGATATTGTAATAGATCAGTAAATAAGGCACGTACCATTCAAAGCAGATTGTTGAGTATTGTTGGATGACCCACAAACAACTCCCCAACTCATTTACCATCAAGGTATGTGGATGTCATGCAAGGGGAGCGAGCAATATATAAGTTGCAATGCTCATACATTAAGCATAATATAGCTGTAGTTTATCTTTTGTGTCTTTCTTTATCCATGTTATGTCGTGTTGTTGTAGCTAACACATATGAATAACACTTCTGTATTAGCAAGTAATAAGTTAAGAACCAAGAAAATGTTGATCCAGCAACAATGAAAGATACAATAGCATGCAATAGGTTACATAAGAACCAAGACAATGGTAAGTCCAACAATACTGAAATATATAATAATAAGTGCTACACCCATATCAATCTAACTTAAAATGTCTCAAAATAATGTATTACTTATACATCCCAATTCTCATAAAAGTAACATAAATAATTAACTCTATGATTAGGTTTCATCTACACAAGAACTCTCGCATAGTCGAATCTACTAACAACTTCATTAAAAATAAATAAATGACATACCTTCATAAATTTTTTGAAATTTTTTCAGTGTTCTTATAACATGTTGGCTAGAAGTTGCATTAATGTGTGGCTCGTCAGTGCAAAAAGCAATTAATTGCAAAATCTGGTTTCTTAAGAATATCACATCATCTTTCTTATTCTTCTCAGTTCTATAATGCTTGGAACAACTAGAATATCCTATGTCATTTAAATTGGGATTGGATCCTTCATTTTAGTCAGCAATTTGTTCAACGTCTATATGCCCCGCTTTGCTGGCATGTACTCTCTCAATTGGTGTGCATGCATGATCATCCATGATCAATACTCCGTCAAGCATTAGGTCTAACTTTTTTTCAAGCTCACAGTCAATAACACTAAACTTATTTCTTGGCAGCTGACATGACCTGCAAGATAATTGACAGTTGATATGTTGTTATTATGGAGATGACATCAGAAAGAAAAAATGAAAAATAATGAACGTTGAATAACTTCGCACCTTCAATCTTTAAGCCCACTATTCTTCTGAAGCATTAATGATTCATTTTATTGGATCCCAATCTAAGTCTGTGGAATCTCGCTTTAACTCTTTCCATATTTATTAATCTCTTTTGAGCCGGTCTCATTTATTTTTCAGTTAGATTCTATCATATTTTCTCCCAATACTTTCTTTAAATTTTCTTATAATTTTTTGCCATCTTTCCTGGTTAAAATAGATGATTGGTCTATTTCCTAGTTCAATTTCCCTCAGGTATAGATCATAAAAGATTAACTTCACATCTTTATCTCACATAGCAGACAATTCCATTTCTTTTGATTTACTCATTATCACTACTAGCATGGAAAGAACCAATCAACCTAAAGTTTGTCAAATAATAACTTTAATTCATCAAAACATAAATCAACCAAGAAAGCAATCCAAAACCCCCAACCCTTTCTCAAAATTCTAAATGAGTAGCGGCAACAGATTCTGAAAGCTCAACATCATAATGAAAAACAAAAAGGAAGTTGAAACTATGGAAAGCTCAACATTTCACACGAGCATTCTTAACTATGAAGTTCTTTAAATGCATTTGCTACAAGACACAACTCTATACTATTACTCAAGACAAATAAATATAAGCCAAGAGTAAAAGCAAAACCTTGGCAAGGGGAACCCAC